ACTTGGCTTGTTCTGAGGCCCCAGAGGCCCAAGACAGAGGGCAGCTCGGGATACTGTTCAGGGGTTAAATTGGCTCATCGGCACGGGCTGCGTTCAGAGGAGGAGGAGCAGGAGGCCAGCGGGAGAAACCTTCAGGGGCCGGGCCACACAGGGCCTTGGCCAGGGAGCTCGGGCTCTCTGAGGGCGCCGGGGAGCCACGGCAGGGCTGTGAGCAAGGGGGGAGCGGGGTCAGTTCTGGGGCTGTGCAGAGACAGACCGGAAGGGGCAGAGGCCGGCGGGAGGAGGCCATGCACCAGGCGGCTGGGAGAGGAGGGGACAGCGCAGAGAGGGGGAACCGGCAGGCCGGGAGGTGGGCTGAGGGGAGGCGTTTTGGTTGTCGAAGGGGACACCCAGGTGGCAGCCGGTGTGTCCTCAGCGAGAGGCCCGGCCTCATCTGCGTGCCACGGAACGTGGCATGACCTGCTCACTTAATGTAAGAGGATTCAGCTCCATGAGCTTGGCCGAAACAGACACAAAACCCAACGTGTATTTCATCCCAGACCGTCCCTAACACGCGCCCTTCCTACACCTCGCCTTCAACCGAAGCGATGGCGATTCGTTCCAACGCAGGGACGCACCCCGTGCCGGGCTGGGCTCGTAAGAAGAGGGGGCACGGTCGCGCACAACCGTGTCATCAGTCCCTGGCAGTGATCTGAGCGATTTCCATGGCTGGGCTGCCTTCAGAGGCATTTCACCTTAGTTCTCCGCGCAAGATGGGCAGACAGCCCGTGCATTTAAAAGATGGCAGCCTGGGGCGCCTGGGTGGCTCCGTCAGTTAAACGTCCAACTTCAGCTTACGTCGTGATCTCATGGTTCGTGGGTTCGAGCCCCGCGTCGGGTTCGAGCCCCGCGTCGGGTTCTGTGCTGACGGCTCGGAGCCTGGAGCCTGCCTCACATTCTGTGTCTCCCTCTCTCTCTACCCGTCCCCCCACTACACTCTGTCTCTCTCAAAATAAATAAACATAATAATTTAAAATTTTCTTAAAAATATAAAAAAATAAAAGACAGCAGCCAGCCTGGAGCGTGGATGAATATTCCATAGTAGCTGATGTTGAAACGCCCTGGCCGTTGTGGGCCTGGCTTCGTGCCAAGAGCCTGCCTCTTAAACCTCTTGTTGACTCTCTGACCCTTTCCTGCCATCTAGCCGGGCTCACTGATAGTGTTCCCTGAGGATTTAGGTTTGGGCCAAGGGCTCACAGTTGGCCCCAGCCTGCCAGGCTATGAGACCCAGCAGTGTTGAACTCATTTTGTGGCTGAATGGAGGAATCTGAGTGGAGGATTCTAGCGTGAGCCCCAGAGGGCACTGGTGGGCTCGCATTTCCTTCCTTGGGGGACACCAAGCATGGGGATCGGGGTCCGGGAGAGGAGGGGGCAAAGCGTGGAGAAGGAGGCCCCAGACTTCTTTCCCTCAAGGAGGTTTGGAGTATTTGTTTTCTGTTAGCACTTCTCTTGACCATTTCATATGTAAACCCTTCTTCTTACTATGGAAGAAGTTCAAACAACTGTGGGATTAAAAGCACTTGATGAGCTCCTGGGCATCCCCGAGTCTCTAATTATCAAACAGTCAATCCGGGTCCACCTACACGCCCCCTGCCCTCCCACCACTGGGTTATTCGGAAGCAAATCCTAGACATGCCCTCTGGAAATACTTTAGTGTGTGTCTAAAAAGATAAGGACTTAAAAAAAAAAAAAATCACTGTAGCAGAAAGTTCCAAGGCTGCAGCTCAAATGGTCTGGAAACCCTTGAGCAAATCCATTACTATGTGGCTCAGCTAAGCAGACCAATGAAGCGGTTGCTAAAAGCTGTCGGTGGCCTCGGGGTCAGTGGGGCGGGAGCGAGTGTGTGTGTGTGTGTGTGTGTGTGTGTGTGTGTGTGTGTGTAAAATACAAATACCCGGGCACCAGCCCCAGGGACCTGAACCCGAAGAGGTCCGGGGAGGCCCCGGGAGCCCGCGGAAAGGACCATGCCAGCGTTGAGTGGCTGGGGGTGGGGTGGGTGTCGGGGTGGGGGGCGTGGGGCCCCGGGCGGCCCTGCCCCCTCCCACCCCGTCGCGCCGCTGAGCCCGCGGGGCGCTGTCCCGCCCGCAGATGTTCGGACAGCGGCGCAGCGCGCAGGCGCTGGAGTTGGCGCACATGCTCTACTACCGCAGCACCTCGAACAACTCGGAGCTGCTCAGCGCCCTGGCCCTGCGCGCGCAGGAGGAGCACGCCAAGGAGGCCCTGCTGGCGCACAGCTTCCTGGCCCGGCTGCCCCGGACGGCCCGCGGCGCGCCGGAAGGTAGGACATGTCCCCGGGGCCCCGCCCCCGCCCCATCGCTTCGCGGCCCAGAACTGACGTGGCTCCACCTGAAACGAGCTCCATTCATACCCTACACGGTCAAGACTCCGCCCCCCATTCCCAACGGGCCCCCCCCCATTGGGGACCCCCCCCCCCCCCTCACCGCGCAGGCCCAGTACTCTCGGTTCCTACGGGCGAGTCTGACCTATAACATCCCAGGTGACCTCGGCGCTCAGCGTGCCGATGGGAACCCTTGAACCCAGCTTCCGATCTTGATGGATCTAGTCCCTCCCTGGGGTGACCGACTTCCCTATCCTGACCTCCTCCTGGATTAGGGTCTCGGGTCATCAGTCTCCTGTTGTGGCATGCCCTCCTTTGCTCCCACCTTGCCCAGCGCTCCTTCCAAAAGAGGCTCTTGCCCCCTCCCCCTGGGAGCCCCCGGTTGACAGGAACCTCCACCCTTCCCTGAACAAGAGGCCCTGACTTGTCCCTAGACGAGAGCCCCAGAGTCGGACCCTTCCTAGCCTCAAGCGGACCTCTAGGCTGCTCCCAAACCCGGACCCCTTGTATTCCTTGTCCTGCGCCCTCCGTGCTGTCCCTTCCGGGTCCTTCCAGGCCCCAGTCACCTCCTCACAACACCTGCTTCTCCCCCTGCAGAGACCTCCCTGTGGCTCCAGTCCGAGGTAGAGAACTGGCTTCTGGCCCAGTCGGGCTGTGACGTGGCCTTCAACGGAACTCGGGCCCTGGCCCACCTGCACGCCCTGACCCCCAGCGTCGGGATGTACCCGCCCCCGGGTTTCCCCAAACTAGACGCGTTGCCGGCAGTCATTTCCGAGTCCCCCCGGTCCGCACCCAGTAGTGACAAGCCCTGAGCGAAACCACTGCCCAGCCTCGCCCCGCCACCTGGTTAGGAACTAAGCCCCGCCTCCTCCACGCTGAGCTGTCAATCACAGCCACTTCTGCTTTGCCCCTCCCCAACGTCCACTTACCCACAAGCAATCGCTTTCGTTACTCCGTATTCTCAGACAAAGCCGGCAATTGAGGCAGCCTAGGGTTGCTAGGCAAGCCCCCGCCCCAGCGCAGCCAATCTAAGCTTTTTGGCTTCGGCGGCGGTTCCGTCGCTTAGTCCCACCCCCGCCGTAAACAGCCAAACGGGGTTCGGCCCAGGAGGAGTGTCGGCCAATCAGAGCTGCTCAGTGCTACGAACCCCTGGGCACAGTTGTTAGACTGTATCTTCCCGAGGCCAGAGATCATTGTCTTTTTAGCCCGCTCCGGGCTAACTGCCCAACTTGCTCGCCGAGGCGGGGCCCCAGCCCACAGCCAACGGGAGCCGCTCAGCCCTGCTCTCTGGCAAACTGCCAACGACAGCTGCCGGGCACCAGCAGCCCTTGGGCTGCCAGTTGGCGCTGCGTAGAAGAAACCAGTCAACATTTCTAAAAGGAAACCTGATCTTTCCATGAATTGACGCTGCTGATAAAGGCAGGCTATCTGGTCAGCTGCTGACCAGCTTGTCCAGGCTGAAGGGGTTGCGAGCCTTGTGTCGGGCAGAAAACCGCGGGTCAGGAGGAAGCAGCGACTACCCTCCCTCCAAGACGCATTTCCAACTCAGGCCCCAACAACCTCAGGTGCCTTTCCTGCCCGGGCCCCTCACCCTTTCGGCAGAAACTACCTCGGTCTGGATCTTTCTTCCACCAGTGGCCTGTGCAATATTTACTGGTCTATCAATTTCGTCCTCGTCCTCTCTCCCAAAGGAATAAATCGTGTGCAATGAATCTGGATGAGTGGGGGTAGCTGCAGGGGTTGGAGAGAAGGAAAGCATCAGAATCCTTGAAGGAAGAGACTGGGTCTTGGGGAAAACTGCATTTGGGGGGGGTCCTAGGCAGAAAAAGCTGTCACCCTAGGGAGAGACTGGGTTCGCAGTTGGTGAAGGAGACTGCCTGTGGTAACGGAAGAGGATCTGAGAGAAAACCTGGCTCCCCAGAAGACTGGGTCTTATGAGCAAGGGAGATAGGACAGCCATGTGCCGTTGTGCAAGTTGTTCACTGCCAAAGGCACACGAGCCAGGGCACCGGTGGAGGTAAAACCCAGCCATCCCTCCACCCCCCCCCAACCCAGCCCACCCCCCCCCCCCCCCCCCCCCCCCCCCCCCTATGGGGTTGTGTAGGCCTGGAGAGGGGGGGGGGGGGGGGGGGTGGCAGCTCATTTTTACTAAGGTGTCATATGGGTTAGAGGCAGAATTGGATGTGGGAGGGGAAAGAAGAGGGGTTGTCCTAACGAGAGAAGGAGACTGAGTTCCAAGAAGGAAATAGAAAAGTGTCTTGGGGGGGGGGGGGCAACAATCTAGAACAACACACATCCTGCCTGGTTGAGAGAAAGACACCCTTGTGCAAGGAAAGAGGACAGGAAACCCACAGTCTTAGTTCTTCCCCACAAGTGCCTAGAAGTCTAGACTCAGGAGGAATCCTGGGACGGGAGGGCCCAGGGCCCCCCGGTCTGTGTAAGGGGAAAGGCGGCTGGGACACCGGGCCCCTGTGTCTTGCTCTAGAAGGGAGGCCCGGAGCTGTGCATTCCGAAGGCTGCTGCTGGAGCGGCTGTCCCCGGTTTTGGAGACCTCAGAAGTGAGCGACCTGGGTTCCTGGAGGAGGCAGGCAGGCAGGCAGGAAGGAAGGAAGCAGACAGAGCGGGCGGTTAAACGGTTTATTGGTTTTATTTTCTGGAGGACGCGGCGGGGCCGGGGCTTCGGGGTGGGACCGAGGGTCCGGGAGCGGGCAGGGGGCTGCAGGGCGACGCGGGGCCCTCACTCCCGCTTCCGCAGGTGGATGTAGATGACGCCGCTGGCCAGGGCGAGGGGGAAGGCCACCCAAGCCAGGGCGAAGCAGTAACCGAAGCTGCCCCCCGCCGGGCGCTCCGCCAGGATCTCCTCCGCGTGAATGGCGTAGATCAGCGCCCCCGTAAACACGGCCACGCCTGCGGGGAGACGGGAACCGGGTGGCACGCAGTACCCGCAAGAAGACTGCATTTCCCGACAACCCATGGGGCAGAGAAGCCTCGGGAAGGCCCGTGCGCAGCCCCGCTGCCTTCTGGGAGTTGTGGTTCGCTGCCTCCGCGCCGTGCACCGAGGCTACTGCAGATTGGCTTTGGGCAATTCAGTTCGTCTAGCTGGGTGCCCCTTACTCATCCATAAAATGGGACGATAGTATCCATCCATCCATCCATCCATCCATCCATCCATCCCTTCAAGGAATGTTTTTTTATGCCTTGCTATGAGCTAAGCACGCAAATAGTGATTTAAGACGGCAGGGGCTTTGTAGGAACCTAAGAAGGTACGATTCCCGAAGCCGAGGACTATGATCACTTAGCTCTTTGCACCCGAAGTCAAGAAAATTGAAAAGCACATAAACTCCCTTCTGAAGTGTCTGATACACGGTGGGTTATAAAACCACTACCATTATGATTCAGAGTTCTCTCCTGGAGTATCACTTAGCCACTGCCTCTGCCCTCCCATCCCTGGGATCTACATTATTTACCCACACCACGCTCCCCAGCTCTGGCTCCTTGAAGCTCTAAGTGTCAGTTTCCACATGACTCAGAGACACAGACTGCAAACCACGGAATCAGTGAAAACTACTGATTCCCTGGCAGGGAGGTAGCCCACGGAGGCACTTCAGGTGGCCCCTCCCTCCCCTTCCCTTCCCCCCCCCCCCCCCCCCCCCCTCCCCCTCCCCTCCCCTCCCCTTCCCCAGGGGGCAGTGCTCACTGGTGCAAAGCTGGCAGAGGCCAGTGGCATAGAATAGCCCCCCTCGCCGCATGGTGTAGAGCTGGAACATGAACAGGATGAAGGACAGACAGCAGAGGATGAGGGACAGCACCATGAGGACCTGGACCGCCTTCAGCCAGCCTGCAATAAGGAGGAGAGAGAGGTGGAAGTCACAGTAGGTTCCGGGGTTCCGGCTCCGTCCGCTCACTCACCGCCCCATTGTGGGCCATACAAGTTTGGTGGCCACTTCTATTGACCTTGATTCCCGGAACTTTGCTGAGTCCCCTTATCAGTTCTCAAAGCTGCTTTGAAGAGTCTTTAGGCTTTTCTACATGAACACATCCCCTGGGAATAGAGACCTCTTTTTTTTTTTTTTTTTTAACTTTTGCCTCTCCCATCTTTACACCTTTTATTTCTTTTTTCTTGCCCTGTTGCGTTGGCTACCTCCAGGACAACACCGGAGAGCACCGGTGAGAGCAGAAGTTCAGGCTTCGCTCTCTGGGGAAAAGCGTTTAATCTCTCACTTCCAAAAACTTAAAGGGGTACAGTGCCACTCCCTTCTAGCTCAAATACATCAGCAGCAGCACCCCCGCCCCCCCCCCCCCGCCACCTTGTTCAGGACTTGGAAGGATCCAGCCCCACTCTTTTGTTGGAACTCAGATGAATTGGTCCCAGCCATCCATTCCAAACACCAGTCTCCTCTCCTTAGAACTTCGAGAACACAATTCTACCTCCTCAGAATCTTGGGAGCTCTCTCCCCATTCCTTAAACCTATAGCATGTGGCCTCCACTCTTTCTGAATCAAAAGGGAGGGGGGCCTTTAGCTGATCCTCCTTAGAACATGAGCGTATCACCCCCCCCACCACCACCCAGAAAAGTGGGTCATAATCAGCCCCACTCACTGAGCATTGGGGCCCAGACCTGCCCCCTCAAACTCTGAAGGGTTCCTACCTAATTCTTGATTCTGGGAAGAGACCGGGGTTACCCCTCCCCTGGCAGACGGGTCCCCGATGCCCCTCACCATTCTCGCTGACGTTACTGCAGGCCCACGTTTTGTTGTCATGGTTCCATGTGCAGTCATACCAGAGATTCAGGGACTCCTTCCCCGGGAGGGTCCACCAGGACTGGGATGGACCAAGAGACAAGGGCAGGGTTAGGAAAGGCAAGTGTGCAGGGTCAGGGAGATTGTGGGGAGGGTTAGGGAAAGGGTGAGGGGCTGGAGGGCGCTGAACTGGGGGCAAAGCATGGATTTAGTGAGAAGGGGTGGGGGTGGGGGGGACAGTCAGGGCAGAAAAGGGCAGGGGAGACGCATCCGAGCCAGGGTTCAGAAGGAGAGATGCTAGGGAAAAGGGGCGGGGCCAGAGTGGCTTCAGAAGAGGGGCGTGGCGGGAGCCTTCGGGAGAAGATAGCCCGCTGCTGGAGTAGGCTTACCTTGTCCAAAGTGGCCACGAAAAGCAGGATGAGAATGAGGATGTGAAGGGCAGAGACCACCAGCAGGAGGAGGGACATGGCTACGTGGAAGCCAGCGATGGGGGGTTGTCAGGAGATGGCTGTTTCGGGAGGTTGGGACAGGGGCGGCTGAGCCCCCTCGGATCCTGGTGGAGAAGGGGGCTGAGTCCAGACTCCAGGGCATGCTGGAGAAGAGGGGCCGGGAACCCGGACCCTTTGAGTCTGCGCGGGGAGGAGGCTGGGGGCCTGAACTCCTGGATCCCCCAGGGGTTGAAGCAGGCCAGGGGTGGACTCGGGTCCAGGAGTGAGTTGGACCAGCAGTGTCTCCTCAGAGTCCTGACCCTGGGCACATATGGGCCAGGATATGAAAATTCAAGTTCATGCCATCCCGGGTTCATCAGAAGCTGGGGGCTTCCCCCAGAGACAGGCATCCTTGACTCACCCCCCTCCTCTCCTGGGGTGTGTGTGTGGGGGGGTGGGGGACCGGTGAGTCACCCGGTGACTCATCCCTCCCCCCCACCCCTGCCTCCAAGCACCAGGGAAACCCCAGCCCCTGGCTATGCCCACGAGGTCCCCACCCCACCCTGCTGCCAGACTGGCGGTGCCAGACTGGTGCCTGCTGAACATCTTCTGGGGAAAATGGGCAAGATCCAGGTTGGGGGTAGGAGGCTGGGGTTGGGGCGGGGGGAGGCTTGAAAAGAAGGAGCCAGCCTCCCAGGACCCTTCAGTGTCTAGAACGGGGTGGGGGGGCGGGGTGCCTGGAGGTCCCCCAGACTTGGGGTGTACTCGGGCAAAGCCCTGGGCTCAGCGTCCTCAGGAGAGACTGGACGGCCGTGGGGAAAAGCTAAAGAAAGTTTACCAGTGGAGGGCTCTGCTGAGAACCCCCAAACCTTGCAGGGCCCCACCCCTTCCCGAATCTCCACCCCAAGTGCTAAGAGATCACTTCTTCAATTACAAGCATTTCCATGGGATCTGAGAGTGGGGGCGTCTCTCCCAGCCTGGGGTTATTCCCAAACTGCTGCACTCCCAAATAAAGAAAGAAATCCCAGTCCGAATAACGGACTGGAAACTTACCGCGAGCGGCAGAAAAAGTCAGAGTTGGAGTCTCGTCCTTTGCTTAGGGCCTCCGCGCCCCGCCCTTCTCCTCCCTCCTTCCACCCGCCTCTCGCCTCTCCCGCCGCCTTCCTCCCTCCCTCGCTCTCTCCTCTGGCTCTCTCCCCCCCTTCTCCCCCTCAATCCGGAACTCTTTCCCTCTCCCTCCTTTCCTCCCTTTTTCTCTCTCCGTCTGCCTCCTGTCTCTCCGGTCCTCACTGCCTACACCTCCTTCTTTCGCTCTCTTCTCGCCCTCCTGGTTTCTCTCTCCGCTCCTCTCAATATATACTGACCCTTTTATACCCACCCGCGCCGCGCCCAGCCCAGCTGAGGTCTGCAGCCGGAGGGAGGGCCTAAGCACTTGGGTTCCTTATTCTCTGGGCCCCCACCCACTGCTCCCAGACAGGCATCTTCTGGGGCTCCCTCCCAGGATTGAGCTGAGAATTTGGAACCAAGGGAGCCGAGCAGGGCCAGGGTGGGGCAAGAATCAAAGAGTGGGAGGGCCCGGTTCTCGGTTCTCGGGCCTCTGCTCTGGGTCTTGCCCCGGCCCTGGATATCTGCTTTCCTTGATGGGGTTTAGGACTGGATACTCTGAGGAATGGGGGTCTGGCGGAGGAGACCAGACCAGGCGGAGGTCTGGTTGAGAGCTGGGAGAGTTGGCCCGATAGTGGGAGTCAGGGGATGGAAAATGGGAGCACGTCAAACTCTGGAAGGGGGCAGGTGGTGGGATTTAATCCGGGTGCCACCATTTCCTGCCTGGGGGTCCTTGACCAATGATTTAGACTCTCTGAGCCTCGTTTTCCTCATCTGTGATATGGGTACAATGATACTGATCATACTGACAAGATACTGGTCGTCATAATTTGGATACTTATTCTAAATGAATAAGGTAGGGGCGCCTGGGTGGCTCAGGTCACGATCTCACAGTTCATGGGTTCGAGCCCCTCGTCAGGCTCTGCACTGACAGCCAGGAGCCTGGAGCCTGCTTTGGATTCTATATCTCGCGCTCTGCTCTCAACAGTGAATAAGGAAACATTTAAAAAGACAAATGAATAAGGTAATACCAGTACACTAACACACCTACACGTTCAGGTTCATTCCTTTCTTCATCAAACATTTATGGAACATCTGTTAGGAACCAGGAGGTAAGAATAAAGAAAGTAGAGGCAATGCCTGCTGTTATGGAGCTTACCTTCCCTGTAGGAGCAGACTTTAAAGAGAAAACCCATCAATGAAGACTGATGTATTGCAGCCAGTGCCAAGTGCTTTTCAGGAAATAAGAGTGGAGGTGATAATGACCACGTGGGAGGAGCCTACTTTAAACAAGGTGATCAGGCAAGACCTCTGTGAGGAGGTGATCTCTGAGCTGAGACCTGAGGACAGGACAGTCATTTCAGTGCTGGAGGAAGGGAAAGTGCAAGACTCCGGAGAACAAGCTCAGGTTGTCTGGGGAGTGGACAGAAGGGCGAGCGTGGCTGGAAGAGAGGGAGTTGGAGGGAGTGGTAGGAAGAGAAATCAAAGAGGGCCCTTGAAGAACTAGGGGAGGAGTTTGTATTTTATTCTAAGTGCAGTGACAAGCCATTGGAGGGTTTTATTTATTTATTAAAAAAATTATTTTTTCAACGTTTATTTATTTTTGGGATAGAGAGAGACAGAGCATGAACGGGGGAGGCGCAGAGAGAGAGAGGGAGACACAGAATCGGAAACAGGCTCCAGGCTCCGAGCCATCGGCCCAGAGCCCGACGCGGGGCTCGAACTCACGGACCGCGAGATCGTGACCTGGCTGAAGTCGGATGCTTAACCGACTGCGCCACCCAGGCGCCCCGCCATTGGAGGGTTTTAAACAGAAGAGCAGCACCAGGGACTTAATGTTAACTATTTATTATTATTATTATTGTTGTTGTTGTTGTTATTAAGTTATATCTGGGTCTCTTGGAAGGTTTGGGTGCTAGTGAAAAATTAGAATAAGGGACCAGATGTCTGGGGTCCTGATGAAGAATTGAGTTGGAGAACTGAAATTCTAGGTTCCTACAAGGGAAGGAAACTGGCCGATAGGGTGGCTGGGTATCTTGATGGGGCAGGAGAGTGGATGGTCATCTCGGCTCCCTGAAGGGGTGAGGGCTGGGCAATTCAGTGACTTAGGTGGGTACTCAGGAGACACAGAAACTGGGGCACCAGTATGGCAGTCTATAGAGGCCAGTGGGCAGCATTCCAAACTGCTACACTCAACAGCTGTGAGTTAGGACAAGTTACTAATAACCTTTCTATGCCTGTTTAACTGTAAAATAGGGATAGTAATAGTAAATACATCATAGGGTATTTCTTAGACTGTCGGGCACATTGTTATACCAACCACTGGAACCCCGAATGGAGGTAGGACTGGGGGACTCTAGTTCAAGGTCTCTAGGATTGGGGGGAAGGAGAAAATTCTTGGGTCCATTGGGCCCCAAAGGCTAAACAGTTGGGAATACAAAATGAGGGTTCCTGGGGGGTGGGGAATAAGTAGTCCCAAACTTAAGTCTTTGAGAAGGACACAGACTGGGGGCCAGGGTCACTGAGAAAAAAATGAGGCGGGAGGGTCACGTGATCTCCATGGAGCCCAGGCACAGGGAACCAGACTGGCCCCTGAAAGAGTCTGGAAGCCAGGGGCTAGGGAGATGGAAATGTGGGTGGGCAAGGTGGAAAACAGGAGGCTAGGACTCGAAATCAAGTTCCCGGAGTGCAATGAGCGCCAGACTTGGGGACCTCGGGAACGTGGAGGAGGTCCCTCGTGCTAGACCCTGTGGAAGAGGGAGAACCAGGGAGCCCCAGGGCGGTAACGGGATCTCCCCGTCCTGGGCCTCCAAGGCTTCGAGCTGAGCTGAGCGCCCGCGGGCTGCTTCCTCCCACAGGAAACCGCAGGCTTCGGGCACACCCAGCCGGCAGGGAGCGGCGCCCACTACCCGCCCGCTCCGGGGAGGCCCACGTGGGCAGCAGCCCGCAGCGCGGGCGGCCCGCCTGCCGAGCGAAGGGGGCGTGGCCAGGAGGGGCGTGGCCGGAAAAGCGGGGGCGGTCCGAAGAGCCCGAGGCCCCGCCCACTCCCGCCTCTCAGGGTGCGGACCCACAAGAAGTTTTTGGCGGCTTCGCTGGAGGCCGTTGGCCGCGCATGCGTAGTGAGTCACTGCAAGGACCTGCGTTGGTGATGAACGTTCCTCCCTCACAACTCCCGGCATCGGCACCGTCTTCCTGCTAATGACTCTTCAAACAACGTGGTCTTGACTTAAGACACGCATCTCTCGGGCCTCGTCCCGAAACACCTGGGCCTAGCTCCAAAGCCTTCCAGACCTTTCCCTCCCAGTCCTGGCTCCATAGGGTCTTTCAGCTTCTGCCTCTCCCTTCCGAAAGCACAGCCCGCCGCTCACAGTCCCTCGCTCTCGGTAGGCGCCTTCCCACCGGGTCCCTTAACGAGTACTTCTAGCCACGCCCCTCGCAAGTCCGCGAAACTACGGCCTCGGCAGGTACCGGTGCCCCTCCCATCGGCAGCCCCCCCCATAGCCCCACCCCTCGCCACTCCCCGCAGCCCCTCCCTCCACAGGTAGCCGTGCTCCTCCCACAGGTTCCAACCCTCGCTGGCCCTGCCAGCCCCACCCCTTACAGGTCTCCCTGCCTTCTCAAGCCCTGTAGCCCCGCCCCTCAAGGCACGCCCAGTTTCTCAACGGCCCTCTGCCCCGCCCCTCGCAGGGCTCACAGCTCCGCCCCTCGCAGGGCTCCCCGCCTCCCAGCCCTTCTGTTCACAGCCTGCTAGGTCTCCTGAGGTCTCCCGGCCGCCTCGGCCCCTCCTCTCCAACCTCCCCTCCCAAGACCCCTCTTCCTCCGCGCTCCCTCCTCCCCAGCTCCCTACCCAGGCCCCTCCTCCCCAGCCTCCCCTCGCGCGGCCACTCCTAGAGGCCTCCGTCCCACCCCCGCCGCGGTCCTCAGGCCTCATTGGCCCTTTATCTCCCCAGTAACCAGGCCACAACAGTGAGCTTGGAGAACCAAGGACAGGTCAGGCACTCCAGCAGGTAGGGACAGGGCTCGCTCCCCACAGCCGGCCGGGGTTTCCTTCTCCTCCGTGTCTCCTTCCCCCAAACAGCCACGCCTCAGAGATACCGAGAGCCCAGGGGACCTGCCCCCGTGCCAGAGTCAGGGTGGAAACACAAGACAGAGAATATGAGAGGTGGGAGGTCGGGAGGGATGTGGGGAGAGGCCTGAGAGGTGCTCCCTTACAACTCATTGGAGGCATTGAGACTCAAAGAGAGGCCAGAGTTGGTTCCGGGGTCACCTTCCGATTGCCTCGCGGTCCGTCCCCACCCTCCTTCCGGCGCCCTCCTGCTCTCTGTCTGAAGGGGTTCCTGTGTCGCCCCTACAGGAGCCCCCCCCCCCACCTTTGGCCAAGATGCCTTTGGGACTCTCTGCAGGGAGTACCCGCTCCGAGGATGGAACCGAGGCCTTCCTGGAAGGAATGGGTAATTCAGACGCTCTTGGCTTTTTTTCCCACTCATTCCTCATTGTCCCAAGTTCTAGGTACTGTGCTCTGGGACACGGGGTGGGGGGGTGGGGAGAAGCGGGGAGGCCTTCCAGGAGAGTCCTCTAGCGGGAAACACACATGCGTGGGAATGGAGGTGGAGCAGGGCAGATGGATAGGCCAAGCCTGGAGGGCTTCCTGCAGGAGGAGAAGTTTGTGTGGGGCTTGGAACTCCTCCCAGGAGTTACCGATGGGAGAAGGAAGGGATGAGCGTTTCAGTAGAGGGAACATGTGCCTAGAACAGGGTTTCTAAGCCTCCACACAGTTGACGCTTGGAGTCAGATCATTCTTTAGTCATGGCGGCTGTCCTGGGCATTGTAGGACATCCCTGACCTCTATCCGTTATATGCCAGGAGCAGCCTGTCCCACCCCGTCCCCACATCCTGACAATCAAAAGTGTCTCCAGACATTGCCAACTGTCCTTGCGCGCAGAATCACTGGTTGAGAACCACTGGGCCTTGGGAGGTGGGGAGCTAGCTGGTGGCCCAGACTGGAGAGGTGGTTAGGTTCAGGTCATATGGGGCCTTGAA